TCGCGTTAAGAGCACGGTGCCCCCCCCCCCCCCACTGCTCCAGTCAATCCCAGCAATTAGGACCCGACTCCAGCTGCTGGCTAGACCGTTCTTAAACCACGGCACGAAAACTATGCAAAGTGGCCAGCCCTGGCCAGGCTCTTTAACTATTTCTGATTGGCTCCGAAGATTTGAAAGGTCTCCTCCTCCGCACCAGTATGGGAGGGGGGGGAGCTCACAGCAGTGTTCCCTCTGAGCTGAGTGAGTGTGAGCCAGCTCACAGTTTTTTAGCCTCCGGCTCACACATTTTTTGTCTCGGCTCAGGAAGGAGGGCTCCGGAGCAAACTAAGTTACGCAGCGGCCCAATCGCTCGCTCACAACTTTTAATGCCAGTAGCTCACAAAGTAGAATTTTTGCTCACGGGATTCAACAGCTTAGAGGGAGCACTGGTTCAACGGTATCCAAATCTACATGTTCGGCCCATGCAATTCTGCCCTTGTTCGTTCCTTACGGCAAACCAGCAATTACTCTACAGGTGAGCATCTCTACGGCAGCGGGTTGGATTCAGAGCAAAATTTCTGACTGTGCTGGAGTTCTGGCACCTGGGCTCAAACTCAAATCTCAGTCACCACGGCTAGTAGCCACTGACGGAACTATCCTCCATGAATCTATCCTAATCCCCCTTGAAAGCTGCTTATTCCTGTGGCCATCACTACATCCTCTGGTAGTGAGTGCCACAGGATGTTGGTCGGTCACCAGCAGAGCTCCCTCTGAACCGTGGAGTCCCGTGAGCACAAATTTTACTTTGTGAGCTACTGGCATTAAAGTTCTGAATGAGCGATTTGGCTACTGCATAAATTAGTCTGCTCGGGAGCTTCCCTTCCTGGGCTAAGATTAAAATCTGTGAGCGGGAGGCTAAAAACTGTGAGCTAGCTCACACTAACTCTGCTTAAAGGGAACACTGGTCACCAGGCAGACCACTGGTCTGATCCAGCAGGGCTCTTTTACGGTCTTACGGAAGTAGGCAAAACCTGTGCCTTGCCCCAGGGGCACGGTTGCCAGACTCCAGGTGAACCCTGGAGTTCAGGAATTACAACGAATCTCCGCACTAGAGAGATCAGCTCCCGTGTTACAAAGGCAGCTTTGGAAGGCAGACTTCATGGCATAACACCCACGCTCAGCTCCCCCTCCACAAACTCCACTCTCCCTGGACTCCGTCCCCCAAATCCTCGGGAATTTCCCAAGCTAGAGTTGGCAACTCCACCCGGAAGCCACCAAGACAACACGGAGCTTAGAAACACTTCAACGACGGTCCCTACCACAGTGCTTAGCGTGCAACGGAGTCGTATGTTCAATACAAAACTGAGCTCTGCACATCGGCACGAATGCGGACACGGCCGGCCTTTGTGGAAGAACTGTCAAAGGTCTATTGGCCACTGCCTGTGTCCCCTGCGCTTCACGACATCGTTTAAAGCCATGTGTGAAATACAACCCTTCTCGGTTCTATACAGACCTCTAAATGTTTCATCGCCTCTCCCAGTCCTAAGTTCCACACGGACCTCTTCGTTCTCCAGCCACTGGATTCACACACGTTTATGCCGCTTAGTTATAAACTGGCCCCAAAGGCTGACACAGCCTGCTTGGAACCGCCCAACCTGTTGTGATTGGTCCTAGCCCCCACGGCAACCATTTTGTTGCTCGCTACGCTCTCGCCAACCCCATGGCAGCCATTTCATGGTGGCCCCGGGAATGGTTCTCAAAATTCCAAAAATGCTCACGGAGCCAGCTAGGTCGGGGCACACACGGAATACAGCACACATGAAGACCCCAGACTACTGGAGGGACATATGGAGCACAGGTAGGGTTGCCAACTCCGGGTCTGGAAATACCTGGAGATTTGAGGGTAGAGCCTGGAAGAGTGAGGTTTATGGAGGGAGGGATCTTGGGAGAGAGAGATTGGATTTATACCCCGCCCTTCACTTGGAGTCTCAGAGCAGCTTACAAACTCCTTTCCCTTCCCCTCCCCGCAACAGACACCCTGTGAGGTGGGTGGGGCTGAGAGAGCTCTTTCCAGAACAGTCCTTGAGAGAACAGCTCTGGCAGAACTACTGCTTGCCCATAGTCATCCAGCAGGTGCATGTGGAGGAGTGGGGAATCAAACCCAGTTCTCCCAGATTAGAGTCTGTGCAGTCTGTAGAGTCCGTGCAGAGAGCCAGTTTGGTGTAGTGGTTAAGTGCGCAGACTCTAATCTGGGAGAACCGGGTTTGATTCCCCACTCCTCCACTTGCACCTACTGGCTGACCTTGGGCAAGCCGTAGTTCTGACAAAAGCTGCCCCACCCACCTCACAGGGTGTCTGTTGTGGGGAGGAGAAGGGAAAGGAGTTTGTAAGCCTCTCTGAGACTCCTTTGGGTAGTGTACGGCGGGGTATAAATCCAATCTCTTCTTCTTCTTCTCCTCTTAACCACTACACCAAACGATGTCATGCAACCCACCTTCCCAACCAGGCATTTTATCCAGGAGAAGTGGAACCTATGTAAACAAATAATAAACAAATCCTCAGTCCTAATTCTGGGTAATCTCCAGCTCCCACCTGGAGGTTGGCAACCCTAAGCAAAAGTAGGCGAGGGCGTTCACAGAAGGAAGATGCTGCCCATTCTGCCTTTCTGAAGACCCAGGAGGCAGACCTGCAGCATTAAAGGAACCCTTCACCCCCAATCCCGCAACATAGATGCTTTTTGAGCCAACAAGATGAACTGAGCCTTGGGGGGGGAAACCCGGCCTTTGTCAAAGCGGCCCTTTAAAACAGAACAGGAGGTGGCTCACAGAGAGGGCGGTGCTTATAAATTTATATCAGTCCGTCGTAACCATGAAACACGGCTGTAAACAAATGCCCCCCGGCTTCTCCCTCCCTGTCTCCGTCCATTTCTGCTTTTCTTTTTCTAAAATTAATTGGGTGAGAATGGAATGCGGGGAAAGACAGCTCAGGCACGGGCAGAACTTCAGGACTTTGCTGGGGGGCAGGCATGGACAGAACTTCTGGACTTTGCTGGGGGGGGCGGGGGGGGCAGGCTAGGCACTGACAGGCCGGCGGCGGCGGCGGCAGCTGTGATTGATCTGGTTACCTGGAGCGTGTTGAGGAGGAGACTCCGGAACTTGGTGCCTTCCACCATGAAGAGCGCCATCTTGTCGCAGAGCTTGGCGGCCGTGGACGCGAAGCTGCGGTCCGTCACCGCCTTCTGGTAGATGGTCCTGACGATCTCCCCCAGCATCTCCTCTGAGTTGGTGGAGTTCTGGGCCTCCTCCATGAAGTTGGTGAGCTTGGAGTCCACCCCGCTGCTGTTGTTCCGCATGCTGTTGAGAATTTCAATTAGTTTGTCCATTTTGTTCTTTTGCGGGTTGGTGGGCTCCAGGGCCACTTCGTCCTGGTCCGTGAAAAGGGAAAGACAAGGCATCTGTTATGCAAGGGAACACGGAGCGGGGGGAGGGGGGGGGGAAGAGAAGAAACGAGACGTCAGCGGTTAGGCACCAGGCAGCGAGGCACAGCCGAAGCTACAAAGCAGAAGTTTAGGCATGCTTTAAAAAAAAAGGATCTGGACCTGCAGCGTGGAGTTCCAGAGTTCTAACTGTTCAGGTAGAGATTCAGCCATGTTGGTCTGAAGCAGGAGAACAAATTTAGAGTCCAGTGGCACCTTTAAGACCGACAAAGGTATGAACTTCCGTGTGCACGCGCACTTTTCCAAATGACCTACCATTCCAGCGTATTTGAAGAAGTGTGCCTGCACACGAAAGCTCACACCGTGAATAAAACTTTGTTGGTCTTAAAGGTGCCGCCGGACTCTACATTCGTTCTGTTGGAAGGGAGGCCCGTCGATGCCCACTAGCCACGATGACTAAAGGGAGCCTCCATATTCAGAGGCAGAATGCCTAGGAAGCAACATCAGGAGAGGCCTTAGCTCTGTTGCTGGCCATCCAGAGTAATTGGTTGGCCACTGTGTAGGGTTGCCAGACCCCTCAGTGGAGGTGGGGGTCCCCTGCCACTAGGACCCCCCTGCTGCCGATCAGCTGGCTGGCAGGGAGACTTACCAGGAGAGAGAGGGAGGCCCAGCCTATGTCACTGGCAACATAGTGACATCACTCCTGGCGTGCACCAGAAGTGACATCATCACATTGGCGACATCTGGGCGACACTCTGGTATTTGGGCAAAGACTCTATGGTAGAGGCCATTTTTACCAGAGTTAAGAACATAGGAGAAGCCAATGTTGGATCAGTCCAAGGGCCCATCCAGTCGAACACTCCGTTACACAGTGGCCAAAAATACCAGCTGCCATCAGGAGGTCCACCAGTGGGGCCAGGACATTAGAAGCCCTCCCACTGTTGACCCCCCCCAAGCACCAAGATGACAGAGCATCACTTGCCCCAGAGCCCCTATCTATACCTTGTGGCTAATAGCCACTGATGGACCCCTGCTCCATATGCTTATCTAATTCCCTCTTTTTTTTTTTTGGTAAACAAATTTTATTTTTCTCAGGAATACAACATATAAAACATTTCATTCTATCAATTGTCTACCCCATTCCCAGTTCCTCCCCTCCCTCCAATGGCTTCCCACAATGCTTCCACCCCTGCTCCAAATTACTTCATATCATCAACAATATCAGTTTTTCATCATTACAATCTAAAGATAACATCGTTTGACTTAATATTGATCTAAACATATTAAGTTTTGTTTCACATCCCAGTTCTTTTCCAGATAAATTTTAAAATCATTCCATTCTCCAAAAAACTCATCGTCTTCTTTGTTATTCAGTTTTTTTGTAATCTTATCCATTTGTGCCATGAACAGAACTTTTTGTATCCATTCTTCAACCTCTGGTACCTTTTCCGTCTTCCAAAACTGAGCATAAATCATTCTCGCTGTCACTATCAGGTACCAGAGTAAAGTTTTTTTAGTCGTATTGACTTCTTCCATTTTGAGTCCCAAAAGCAGAATTTCCGGTGCTTTTTTAAAAGAACATTTCAGTATTTTTTGCATTTCATTGTGGACTTTTGTCCAAAAGTCTACAGCTTTCTCACAAGTCCACCACATATGATAAAATGAGCCCTCATGCCTCTTACATTTCCAACATTTGTTTGACATATTTTGATTCATATTTGCAATCTTCTTAGGTGTCATGTACCACCTATACATCATCTTATAACAATTTTCTTTAACATTAGTACATGTCGAGATCTTAATAGAGTTTTTCCACAAATATTCCCAAGTTTCCATATCCACTTCCTTATTCATATTAATAGCCCATTTTAACATTTGTTCTTTAACAGTTTCATCTTCAGTATACCATTTTAACAACACCTTATACATTTTAGAAATATTTTTGGAACTCCGTTCCTGTGCGTTCCTGCCCCAAAACAGCCCTGCTCTTAACTGTTCTTCTGGCACTGAATCCCCAGGAGACCTTTCCCACGGCACCAGAGCTCTGGAGAGTACGTCTGTCCTACAGACTGAGACTGGAATAACTGTCATGGTTCTCCATCAGGAGATCGCAGCGCTTTTGATTCGGATTGAGGAGCTGCAGCCCCTAAAACTTTTAAAGTAAATCTCCCCTGGCAAAAGAAGAAGAAAACCAAAGCTAAGAAGAAATCTAAGTGAAGATCTGAGATTACCTATGTTGACATTTAACTTACTTATATTCTCAACCAGATGTGATGTAATATCAAAGATGCCTCTATGTTCTTTCTTTTTGAACACTTTTATTAGGTTTTAAGGAACCGAATGGAATTTTTAGCATGTAGACATGTACTCAAAGCATTTGATTAGCCTATCAAAGGTTCTTGTTACTCTCTTTGTGGTTTTAGTTGTGTAGGGTGCCGTCTTTGTAGGGTGTAGGAAGAAAAGCAATAAGAAAAGGAGACCGCAGTGCTTTCAAGAGCCCGAGGATGTCTGAGAGAGAATCACCAAAGGACAGCTCCTAGGATTCTGTTAGGAAAGCTCGTGAGAGCTGAACTGGACTGAAACTAGGAGTGTGACGAGGATGGAGACCAAGAAGCCCTGTGAGGAAAGGCGGAGGTGCTTGGGAAGGTTCAGTCTGGAGGAGAGGAGGCTGGTGGGGGGGGGACAGGATGGCTCTCTTGAAGTATCTGAAGGGCTGTCACTCGGAGGAGGGCAGGGAGCTGTTCCTGTCGGCAGCAGAGGAGAAGACTTGCAATCACAGGTTTAAATTAAGGGCGGGAAGGTACCGGCTGGATATTAAAAGGAAAACCTTTTTGACAGGAAGAGCCGTGCAAGAGTGGAGTCGGCCACCTCGGGAGGTGGTGAGCTCCCCCTCCCTGGCAGTCTTGAAACGGCATCTGGACAAACACTTCTCAGGGATGCTCTACTAGGCTGATCCCGCATTGAGCAGGGGGCTGGACTAGAAGGCCTGTGTGGCCCCTTCCCACTCTGTGGTTCTGTGATTCTGTTCTATGACATCCCACCCCACCCTCCAAACTGAAGTTCTGTGCTTTTAAATGGGCACCGGACCAACAGAAATCAAAACATGTGCAGTTTCCCATATAGCATGTGGCTATGCTGCAGAAAGCCATTTGTGCTGGATTTCTGCCCGTCACATAAATGAGGCTGCCCACGGATCTAGATCGCTGAGCAAGAGGAAAAGCTCCTTGCTGCAGTGAAATGTCCATAACCCATTTTAACGCTTCTCCTTAAGTCAATATAAGCCCAATCCTGAATAACTAGAGCTTCAGAGCCCCTCACACCCCATTCACCGAGCCATTAATGAGTTCATGGTGAAATGACACCATAAAATGTTTCTTTCAACAGCTCGTTTGTGAGCCTATCATTTAAAAATGTGTATCCTCCAAGGATAGGGAAAGTAGGTGATAGTTTTGTCTTTGGATCAGAAACACAGCACGTTTAGTATTTTTTAGTCAAAAGCAACAAACAGCATACAAGAGGCATCTAGTGGTAGAACACGGCATTACACGAAATTGCGCTAGCTCAGCTAAAGCAACAGACAGCGAAACCTGGTGACCTATCTCAGACGCAAGTCAGAGGGCAAAACGACTCTCCAAAATATTACTTCTTCATCAAACATCTGTGATAGGGTCAGGCCAACTTCCCAAGTTCTGTAGGACTAATCCATGAATGTAGTGTACCTAAAAAGATGTTCAATAAGGCAGGGATCCGAGAGGGTCTTTGTGAGGGTTTCGAAAGATTATAGAGCAGGAGTCCCCAACCTGTTTGAGCCTGTGGGCACCTCTGGAATTCCGACCAAGTGTGGTGGGCACAGCCACAAAATGGCTGCCCCAGCTTATCTTCAGTCATACAGTGAAGATCCCAGCGTTGTGGTGGCAGCTACTGGCAAAGCAACATTTTTAAAAAAAATCTGCACAGCTAATCAACCCTTGCTGGGGAAAAGTCCTCCCTGGCCACGACCACTTTCTCAAAACACTTGGTGGGCGCCAGAAAATGTGTCAACGGCTGCTGTGGTGCCCCGGGCGCCACGTTGGGGACCCCTGTTAAAAGACCAAGGGAACTCTGCATGCCGCATGGCTCTCGGTTCTTTCCTTCACCCTCTGAGCACCTATCTTCCCACCCCACCTCAACCCCACACAACCCAACCCTCCCCCGGATTTATCATCCCAGATCCCGAACCCCAAAGTTTCTACCTTTGGGGAGAAAAACCTTATTGTAAGTAGAATACGTTCACCAATGTGCCTACATCCAATGGCTCGGCCCTTCCCGGTAAAGCGGCTGGTTCCGGATGCTCCCCTAACACGACGATGCTTCAGTTTGCTCAAGGGGCGGGATGGGTTAAAAAAAAAAAAGGAGGTACCTTTTCTTTTAGTCTCCTGCGTAGTCTGTCTTTGGAAGACTGGAGTAGGTTGATTTTGGGCCTCTCGCTGATCCGTTCGTGGAGGCTGTCTTTCCGCTTGCTCTCCGACTCCTGGATGTACTGCGGGGAGTGCCTCTCCGTGGCGTCGTTGCCGCGGTGCATCTCCAAGGGGATGTGCACCGTGCAGACGGAGGCGTCCTCGATTTTCAGGTTCTCGGTCTCTTTGGCGTTTCTGTGCGTCTCTCTGTCGTTGGGCGAGTGCTTCTGGTTGTGGTGCCACCGCCGGTTTTGGCTGTAGCCGTGGTGGCCGGGCCGCCCTGAGGAGTGGGGCGCTTGGTTCCCCTGCGAGGGCTTCTGGTGCTCCCTGTTGTGTTTGGCTGTCCCTTGCTGATGCTCCGGGTGCTGCTGAGACTTGTTTCCTCCGGGAGCCCTTTGGCGCCTGCAAATCCAAAAATGGAGGTGTCAGCATCTTTTTTGGGGGGGGACGAGGACGAGGACACTCCTATGCAAAACTGAATTATCCCAGAGGGGCTTTTTTTGCACAGCTGATCGGGCTGCACTGAATAAAACGGTTCTCAGACTTACTGGGATAAGTGACTGGGACTGATGCCCCAGGAGCAGCTGTGCCGCCCTCGCTCTTCCATTGACCAATGCAACCGGGGCAAATGGAAGAGCGAGGGCAGCACAGCTGCTTGTGAGGGATCGGTATGGGACTGTGTTCTATACTGCTGTGTATGGTTTATGGTAAATAGGATCCTAACGGGCAGGGGTCATTTCGTAGTAAAAGAGGTGCAGGAGCTCATTAGCATAACTCATTAGCACAACTTATTTGCATGTGCCACGCCCCCTGACATCACCGGAAGTGTGTCAGAAGGCAACACCCACCGCTCAGGCTCCACTGGACTGTTTTGGATTGCTAGCTATTGGGGGGGAGGATATGCAGATCTGTCCTCGCAGAGGAGGGAGAGCTTGTCCCTGAATAAAACCTGGTCTTAAAGGTGCCACTGGACTGTTTTG